GCAAGTAATAAACTCGAAAAATTATCACTTTCAAAATTTACCGATAGTGATCTTTTTTAATACAGTAGTTGAATTTTTTTTCAGAGAGCACCTTAATTATTGAGAGGTATTAGTGAAAAGAAAACATGTATTTCTTCGAATAAGTTTCCTCATTTCTGCTAATTCCTTTCTGATTTAGCGACTGCCAGTAAGAAGGAGCAAGAAGTATGCACATACGTAGCCACTATACACTCCAGGGATCGAAACCAGAGGTCCTGGAGAACCACTTCCGCCATTTTTTACGTTTAATTGTGCGCAGGCAATATAAAATTGTGCGCCGCCAAAGTAATGGGCGTCGTGAAGAGCTATGTGCTCGATGCGCAGAAGATACCTAGAGTGATTGGCTTCAGATGATATAATACGGTAAGCAATACATACTGTCCGGTTGGGACGTTCTTTGGAATAGTGAAGGTGACGTTGTGCAACACTGCGGAGAACAATGATTAATGGACGAAAGCCTAATGATAACTTACTATTAGCGGGGAATGTTGGATAATTAGTTCCGGTTGGATCGGCATGGGCGGTAATCTCAAAGATTTTGAACCATACGTTGCCAGAACCGTCGAAGTCGATGGCTTTATCTGGTGCTTTAGCCATATAGACGTTGACAACCTATCACAAACGTTATCATTGCAGCGATTCAAATATCTCACTTTCAAAGCAACATCACTTACTCCTATATGGTAGAGGACGTTATCGGTCTGGAAGGTGATTTTGTTGCCGGCTTCGATGGAATAGGTGTTCGGGGCAGTTCCACCGGCACCGTTGTAGCATCTGAAGTTAGGATCATTTACATTTTGGATCTAAGTAAAAATTGATTCATTCAGTCAGTATGAGAGGAGTTGGAGGGATAAACAGACAGGATTACGGGTCTCATAATTGTCTGTTCTGCGAACAACGTCCCAGGGAAACGTCTGATCGACAGAAGGCCAGCAATCTAATTGATCAGAGAATGAAAAATATAAGGATCCGACGAAATTAGGATACTTGTTGCAACTCACAATGTGCACAAACGCTGGAGAACCACGCAACTGCACATAAAACAAGAACAACCCTGCTGAAGAACATTGGAGAGTGATGAAAGCAGTGTATATACGTCTATCGAATAAATAGAAGTACTTGAGAGCGCAAATGGATGCTGCTGATATCTGTTCTCACTATTTTGTGCTCTCTAATGAAATTTAGAATAGCTGGATAAGAGCAATCAATGTGTGTGAATGAGATAAAGGCAAAGCCAGATGTGCCTGCGTGGATGAAGCTAATGAATGACAGTCTATTTTCTAACTGTAATGGCAGCTTTAAAATACGAACAAGACGAGTCTTCCTACTAAGGCTGGCAAAAGTCGGAACTTTTTACAGCATTCTTTTAAAAAATTGAAAAAACAGAAGAACTTTTGAAATAAAACTGAAAAAATTAGAGAAAAATTTAAAAAATCGCTTGAAAATATGGCTACCGTAGCCGACTTGTGAGGACCGGGACCGACCCGTTCCACCCTTACGCACTATACAGAATTATCGAGAAAACATAAAACTCTGATATAAGTCTGAAAATCTTGACTCCTTTCGAAGGTTACCGAACAGCCATTACATTACTTAGGGTGTGGGTGTGGGGTGTAGGTGGGTGTGGATGGGTGTGAGTGAGAGTGTGGGTGGAAAGAGAGAACACCCACACCCAAAGAAGACATAGACTGATGTGTTGTCTTCAGTCTACGAAGGACATCCTGCAGTGGTTTGTATTTGTACAGAATGTCGGTACCTGTTCATAATGATACTTTCAAAAATCCTTCATTATCCTATGGACAGTCGTTCCCCCTAGATACAGCAATTATAGGCAGGTATCATTATGGGCATACTATATCGAAAATACTTCAGCTAGCACTATTGAATGGGTCTTTCGAACATATTGTGATAAATTATGTAACTGGGCTTCCTGGAGGCAACTAACATTGAACAAACAAAAATAATATTAGAAGGATATATAATCCTACGATAGGCATGTTAGAAGCGTCGACTATAGTTATCAGAAATGAATCGATATGTGTTGAAGATCTGTGGATGATTCCCCACTACGAAAAGATCCTTTTTTCTACTTGTGGAGCAAGCGAATGGCGTTCCATGTTGCAGTCGAAGTTCAGGCTAACATTCCAAAAATGTCCTCCTGCTTGTGCTTTCTATCTAGAGGGCAAAGAAGATACTCTGAGAAGGCTGATTAATTTGAATCTATTAAGCAAGTAGCAAGAAGTTTCGGCATTCAGTTGGAAGCCGTCTTAATTGGATCAATGAATACTATAGAAGAACACGTGTAACTATTCTCTTCATTTGGTCTTCTGTTTTCTTCACATTCCTCCGCCTTTAAAAATCTCATATTCAGCTGTTCCAATGTAGTTGTTATTGAGATTGTTGACCAATTCTTGCCTGAATGGAAGAACAGCCCTTTCGAGCAAAGAATGAATTTTTCAAATCCTCACTATACTTTCTCGAGAAAACATCTGGCAAACTGAACTTCTTGTGGATCCCACTGTAAAAGACCGAACCATGATGTACATGCGGATTTATTCGTGAACCTTATACTATTGCGTGCTGCTTTCCATCAAGGCCTAAGATTGCAGCATCGTATCTGTCCAGAACTTGATTATTCTTTTGACATTCAAAAGATCTAGATAAGAAGGAGCCATCTGTCACAGAATAAATGACGAATATAACTCAGAGCTATTGCGGATATGAATTTTATTATACTTATGTGGTATAGTGGATGTGATTTCTCTAATGAATGTGCATATGGATGGATGTGAATTTAGATGACAAAACTATACTGGGACAGCTACACTCTCACCTCTATCCCATCCACACTCATATCCAGGGTTTACCCATGGATGATAACACTTTGTCACCGATTGTAGCTAGACTTTACATGAGTGAATGCATGGAGAAAAATCTAGAAAAACTTAATTTATCTTCTAAACTCGGAAGGTACGTCGATGATATTCTTATAAAGAACAAGTTGAATCATTTGATGATCATCTTAATAAAAATAAAAATAAAATTTGATTCACTTATACATGTGAAACAAACAAACAATACTAATATTTTTTTTTGATACGACATTGTCAGAAAAATAATCATAATATGATGGATATCGAATGGTGTAGAAAATACACAGCAATCGACAAGCTATCTAATTACTGTTCTAAGCATGAACAATCTGATGCAATTTATCTTATTAAAAACATGGCATCCTAAACAATTGCAACAACAAATAATTATAATAACCAAGAGGATAATATAAATAAACTTCAAGAAGTTTATAAGAGAGTTGAAGTCTTCATAAATACCATCAATAAATCACATGCAAAAAAATATGAAATCAAATAAAACTAGAACAAATGAAAATGTTAAAAACAAGAAAAATATTTATTTCCTATCCTATTTAACTTCAAACACGTAACACGAACTTTTGTAAACAAAGATACAGACCAAATTTTTTTAGGTAACACGGAAGTGTGGAGAGATTTATAAAGAAGAATCAAAACTAGATTTAAATAAATGTATATCTGATTTCGAGAAAGCATGAATGATTGACAATGAGATTTGTGGCAAATAAACAATAAATCATAGAATTAGTTTATTTTGCTATAAGAAGTCGATAAATCGTTATAAGATTTTTAATGCACAATGATCTCTCTTCTATATGAAGCAACTAAAATAATCAAAAAAGCAATAGAAATGAGAGAAAAAAGAATTTATCTACCATGAGAATGCAAGATGTTGATATTAGAATAGAGTAAGAAGATCACTAGTTGCATAACTCCTAGCAATGTCGCCATCTTGCCGTCTCACTATCCCATGACTAGTATTAAAAAGAAAAGAAAAAGAAATTTAAATGGCAACATAAATACATTTATATTCAAAGACTAACAAAGATCTGTTCGATTGTCGAAACTTTGGATCATTTTGTCCGATAACTATTATACAAATATTATAATTAGTTTGATCAAATGATTTGTTTATATTTCATTTTAATTTTTAAAATCAAGGCATATCATAATAAATATTTAAAATGAACACTCAAAATATTCAATCAATTCAAGATTAAATTATCTTCAGAGGAAAAAAAACAAGCTGTTTTGACTATACCCATGTGATTGCTTTACGCACATTATGATGCTCGTTTTTGTATTCGTATCGTATTAGTACAAAGAACGAATGCAAGAACAAGAAAAAAAGGTATATTTTTAAGAAAAAAAAGAAGTATGATGTGATAATATTGTCATCATTATTTTGCGCATACTGCAATGTTCATTGGTTATTTTGTGTATAGTTACCTTTCAGTCATACGAACGATGCATAAGAGAGCAAGCACATAGTGGTTAAATTACCATAACAAAAAAACGAAATAATTTCCACGTGTTCATATTATTCACATCATTTTTCGCGATAGGGTTGAATGCGCGAAGAAAAGTAGCTTTCTTAAGTATATATACACAGAATAAGATCAATAGGAAAGTAGTGTTCTTATCGTGATCAAGGAATATTATCTACGAATACAACAAGAAAATGTATGTATATATGTATGAAAATGTAGTCTGTCTAAATTTCTTTAGTAATAAGCATAGAGGAGATTTTTCTATGTCTGAGTAGTACCATTTACTGCATATATATGTAATGCTATTTTCTTACTATGGTGATTATTTTCTGGCGTTGAAAACATTTCGATACCCTCTACCAAATAAATAGCAGAGGCTAGCTACTATAAATCTAATCGTCCTACAAAGGATCTGTAGTTATTATTGTCAATTTGGTTTTTGTGATTTCTATCTTAGACATACAACTTTTCGAACTTCTATTCCTTCGCCATTCGAAGACGTTTGATCTCGTCAATAATTAAATAATATACAGTATTAAAAACAAGTACTCCCTAATTTTTGTGGAAACGGCACTTGTTTAATTTAGTAATAACATTTAATATCTCCTTTGCTTTATAATGAATAGTGAAAATAAATGGAACGTTTATCTTGAAAAACAATATAAAGATAAAGTAGAGAAATATAGTATGTTTCTATGAGAGATAATGCAATAGAATGAGTTCTAATTATGCTGTATTTTATTTCTTACTTTCTGACAACTCAATTTTTTCACACGTAGGATTCCCCTGAAATTTTAAGAAAATCATTTAATCATGATCGCACTAAATTTTTTTATAGCTCGGTAGAATTAAGTGTACAGATTATAAATATAACATTCTTCTTTCAAAATACTTAGATAATAAGAAACATATGAATGAGTCTCTGAAAGTCATAAGAAAAACTCTCTAGTTTGCAATTTAAAAACCTCATTAAAACTTGAATGAAATTTTCTAAAAACGGGTTCATCTGATGCACAAACCTTTTCTCTATCCGAACCTATGAGAATGCCTTAGATATTCAAGAGGTTCTCTGTCGATCAATGCCTAAACCTGATCGAATCGAGTGGTACTGTTTCGAAGAACAAGTCACCAAGTTTTATGAAATTGGTTTGTTCGACCTCACCAGTAAAATGATTTTAATCAAACTTCAATGTACTTTTTCTCATGGTATCATTTTCAGCTTGAAAATCGATGTCTGATCAGGTATTTTTGCTCCAATTAATTCTCATGATAACCACTTTACATCTTTTTTCGACTAGTATTTGATGATTTTCGAGTAGAAAAAAATCTCTTTTGACTTCAGACAAATCTTATGTCCCAAATCTTTAAGGAAAACTAAATTTATGCATATACGAAGGTGGATATAGATGTGGATGGATGTGTGTAAGATATGAGTGTGAGTGGAAATGTAGGTGTGGAATATGAATGCGAGTATGGATTATGAGCAGAGAAATACTCACATCCTAAGATTTCACATTTTAATTAGGAAGACAGTTACATTTTAGTCGCAAAATAGGCACCAAAACAACCAATTGAGTATTGTATTCTTACAATAGGAGTGTTTTAGAGAATTGGCAGAATATTCAATGAAGAAACATTCAGAGAAGAAGAACTCCCATTTATTGAATAACTATTTTTATAAGAAAGAGAATTAAACTTTTCCGACTAGTTTCTTCTCGGTGAGTATTTCATATGTGGAACAGTAAAATTCTTTTAGATAGACCAGAACAACCATATTTTATTAACAATAATCCTACCATACAAGATTTTAAAAAAGAGGGTGTGAGTGCAAGTCAAAGGAAGACTCACACCAAAGTCCTAGCCTGTGGCGTTGCTACGGTCATCTCTAATATTATCTATTTGAGAGAATGTAAATTTTCAGTTTATATATTTCAATACTCGTTGTAGATCGTGTTTCATTAAATTAAGGGTGTGAGTGCATGTAGATGTGTATTGAGTGAAGAGAAGGACCATATTCTTCTGTTTCTTTCTCATAAAAACTTTGAAAAACCATTCAGCAAGTCTGTAGAACTCGGTTAAGTATGACAAGTTTAGAAATGTTCGATGTATTTTTCATATCAATCCATGGGTTTTGCAGGAGAATAATCTTCTTACATCAGATCAGTCTCAGAATATACTATATTTGAACAATCTCAAACTCATGCATTTAAATGCAGTTTTACGTACTAAACTTAAGTTTATTAACATTTTGAGCTGATTAAAACACGCGAATATTTAACAAACTAATTTTCAATGTACAAGTTTTGTTCACAGAAAAAGTATTCGATTTCTCTTTTTTTTTTCTCTAAAAAAATATGGAAGGTGAAAAAAAAAACTTTAATTTTGAATTGCTTGCATCTTATACATCTCGATTATTGAAATAGGATATTTTACCCACAGAAAGAATAAACAAAACTTAAGCCTAGATCTGCCACTGATTTCAAGAGGGAAAAAAGAATTCTTTCTTATAAAATTCATAATGACGACAGCATAATTTCTTTATACCTGTTCACTTCCTTAATGATTTTTCTTCTTCGTTTGCTTCTAGCTTAGTTTGATTTTTCCTTTTGTATTCAAATAAATCAGCAATGGACGAGAATATCGCTCAGAAACTACGAAATGTTCAAACGGTAATTGATAGACAGAACTATGACGACATCATATGATTGTTTTTTTTTAAATACTTTAGGCGGTTGAAACTTTAAAAATTTGTCAAAATGATCTGTAAGTTCAAAAATATTTTCATTTAATAAAGACAACTATTTTTTTTTCTTTTGGCATTTTGGACCAAATGAGTTAACTAAGCACTATGGTTTTATCAAATTTGATGAAAATATAGATGATACTACTACTACACGTCTTTCACAATATATAAGGTTAAGTCTTAATACAAATGCTGTAACAGTTGTTAAATTTATGCAAAAAGGTTGGCATTTACCAAGACCTGATTTAATTATATCTGTAACTGGTGGAGCAAAAAATTTTGATATGTCAACACGTCTTAGAAAGATTTTTCAGAGTGGTTTAGTTTCTGCTGCTATTACGACAAGTAATTAAAATTTAATTTCACTACAGATAATCAATAACAAATGTTAATTGAATAGATGCATGGTTAATTACAGCTGGAACAAATGCTGGTGTTGTTAAAGAAGTTGGTGAAGCTCTTAATAAATATCGTTATAAAAATCGAAAAAATGGTGTTGATGTACCATGTATTGGTATTGGTAGTTGGGGTTATACCACAGGAAATGAACAACTTGATTGTCAATCGACAACTTTTTCTACAGATGCGAGTACTACAAAAGAAATACCTCCATCTATAAGACATCGTCTTAATAAAATAACACATTCTACTCGTTTGGTTAGTAGAACAATTTATTTGAAAAAAGATGGTTTTCTTTTAAATAATAATTTAGAATAATGATGATCAATATGCAGTTCGATATTATACTGTTAAAGAAAAGCAAAAGAAACGATGTGATTTAGAACCACATCATACTCATTTTTTATTATTTGATGATGGACAACCAAATGCTGATACTCTTCTACCATTACGAGCAGAAATTGAAAAATATTGTCGAAATACGAGCATAGATACTGCTACAGACGGAGCAGTTGAATCATTGATACCTATTGTTATGGTTTTGGTTGAAGGTGGTCTATCATCGATTCGAACAATTTGTGAGGCACTTGACTCGAATACGCCAGTTGTTGTTATCAAAGTAGAGAAAAATTTGAATCACATAAATAAACTTTGATTGGTTTTTAAAGGAATCAGGTCGTGCTGCTGATCTTATTGCTGAATTACATACTTGTTATACTGAAAGCGAGAATACTAATGATAATGTTTATTCTACACGACTACAAACCGGTTTAGCTAAAAGTGGTTCAAAAGAAACAAAGATCAATAAAATGTAAGTTTTGTCTTTCAAAATAAATTATGAACAATAATTATCTCTATTTGCTCATAAAGTTTGACTAAAGCACAAGCTGCTATTACAGGACTTCATGAAGTTATAGATAATCTATGTCGAGTATTAAACGAACGTAAACAATTAGTGACAATTTTCAAATTTGATAGTAAACAACATCATGGAAATCTTGAAGATGCTATTCTAGAATCTTTATTTAATGGTAAATATTCCTTATTGATAAGAACCTCGTTACAAAAAAACAAAAAGTTAATCTTTTTTATAGCTGCAAAATCTTCTGATGACCATATTGAACGAAATCGTCGAACAGCAGAACTTAAATTAGCTACAGTAATTTAAAAAGATAAACAACAAAAATAGATCTTTTGTTTTATATTCATGTATAGGCTTGGCATAAATTTAATTATGCTCAAAAATATCTTCTGACTGATACGACAATATCTAAATGGAAAGTATGTCATTTGTTTTTTTTTTAGCTAATTATTTCTTTTTGTTTAATAAATAAAAGGAAGATGATCTACATCGTGCTCTTGTTGATGCACTTCGTCGTGGTCATGTTGATTTTGTTGAATTACTCATTGAATTTGGTACATCACTAGAAAAATTGACAAATGGAGATCTTAAACAACTTTATGCAACAACATCGGTAAATTGATTTTAACAACAAAAATCTAGAAAAAAAAATTATTTTTATAATTTTTTTTTCTTTTTAGACCAGTAATCGATTACCACTTAAAGGCAAAGGAAAAAATGCTATATGCAGAAGAGAGGATTTTTATTCAGATTATTTTAATTTGATCTTGGTATGAAACATATTGATCTATTAATTATTTTCTTAGAAATATCTTTATAGGATAATACAAGCAAAGATAATAATCTTTTATTATTAGATGATAATATGCCATTAGGTAAAGGTGCTCCACAGGAGTTATTTTTCTGGGCTCTTTTTCTTAATCGATTGGAACTTGCAATATACCTTTGTTCCAAAACTTGGGTAAGTTTTAAAGGATTAAACACGTAAATTTAATATGCTAACTATTGTATTGAATATCAAATACGCTAGTCATACTCAAACCAAATGTTCATTCTAGCGACCAAACTAACGAATTAAACATATGAACTATTCAATACAGAAGTATTTTCAAAACTCAAAGTGTTTAGTTTGAATTTTGCTATTATCAGTTTATAGTTTAAATTTGTTAGTTAATGAAAAAGAATGATTATTAAATCTACATATATTCAATTTTATTGATTTATTAATAACATAGATTCCACTATATAATAAAATTTTCTTAATAGAATTCATCAGTAGCACCATTATTTGGTGCATTAATCTATCGACATGCAGCAAGCTTAGAACTTGACATCGATATAAAACAACAATATGAAGAAAATGCTGAGTAATTCGAATAATTTTAATTGATTATATTAATTCTTTTTATCTCTAGGCAATTTGATATACATGCTATGTCAATTATTGATCAATGTTTTGATAATGATGAAAATTTTGCTATTGATCTTCTAAAACAGCCTGCTGTTGCATTTAATGAGATTTATCCATTACAATTAGCACGGAAAGTTAATTGTAAATCATTTCTTGCATCAAAATGTGTTCAAAAATATCTTGATCATCAATGGTAAGATTCGAATTTTTTGTATTTCAAAGAGAAAATAAAAAAATTTATAGGTTTGGATGTATTAATTATAAAAGAACGGCTATTAATTTTCGAGTAAATATTAAACAATAAAATAACGTATAAAATATATGTTTTTATTTTTCAAGGTGTTTCTTTGTTCATTATTTTTTCCATTATTTCCAATATTTTGTATCTTTTTACCTTACACACAAGAACGTAAAAAAGTTAGTAAAAATTTAAAAAAAAAACCTTTATGAATATATTAAATAATTTTTCAAGATGATTCGAAGTACTCAAAGTCAATCAAAAGTTAGTCAATGGACTAAGATGTATCATTTTATCGAGTAAGAAAATGATGATTATTTTATTTAAAAACAAACAACAAAACTTATTTCATATTTTATCAGATCTGTTCAACAAGAAGAAAAAAATTATGTTTCATGGTACGATAAAATAAAATATTTCTATGAAGCACCTATTGTACGATTCTATTATTATATGGTAAAGATAATTTATATTATTTAAATTTATTTGTCTTGTTTTGATGTTTTGTTTTTCGATTAGATATTTTATATTTTATTTCTTGGTTTATTCAGTTTTGTTCTTCTTGTTGATTATTTTCCATTAAATATCTATAATGAACATCAATCTAGTATTCAAATTTTATCAATACCAATAACTGAAATAATTCTTCATATTTGTTTTTGGAGTTTTATTATTGAAGAGATGCGCCAGGTGATATAAATATAGATTTTATTATTGAAATAAATTCTTTTTCTTTTAGTTTTTATTTGCCGATTCAAAAAGAGAATATATATCAGGAATATGGCATATGATTGATATGATTGGAGCGATATTATATCTAATAAGTTTTATTACACGATTTATTGTTCTTGAGCCACTTTTTGTTGTATCAAAGTAAGTTGCAATATATTTAGTTTTTGATTCATCTGTGTTTTTTCAGAATATTCTTATGTCTTGATTTGATACTTTGGTATGTTCGTACATTAGAACTATTTGCTGCTTTTGAAAAATTAGGACCAAAATTGATTATGATTTTTAATACAGTTAGTATCTAATGATTTGATTAATCTTTTGATTGTATTTTATATTAATAGATGAAAGATTTACTATTTTTTGTTTGTTTTATTCTCATATTTTTTCTTGGATATTCAATATCATCATGGTCATTAATAACTACAGATAATCAAGTTTCTTGGAATTATAATAGTAATGGATCAGTAACAGGTGATAGAAGTAGTTTATGGTCATGGCAATTATTACATGATGTTACAAATTTTGGTGTTTGGAAAATTTTCGGACAAGTAGATCCTATTGGTAAATATAATTCAAATTAAATATATAATTATAATAAAGATTCTTTTATCTTCTTTAGATGGTACAAATGCCTATTCTATTGTAGCTTTTATATTGACTATACTATTTGTTGCTATTTCTAATGTACTTCTTCTTAATGTACTTGTTGCTTTATTTAAGTGAGACGAAAAAAAAAAATTTCTTAATATAATATGTAAACTTATGTTTATTTTTTCTTATTTAAGTATTACAATTGAAAATGTTCAAATGCAATCTCATCGAATATGGCGTTATCAACGTTTTTTACTTGTTTATGAATATAATAATAAACCTCTATTACCACCACCATTTAATACTATTTATTATTTGTATAGTATTATTCGTTATATAATCGAAAAAATTCAATATTATCACCAAAAATATCGACATGGTATTTTATTTAAAAACAACTGTCTAAATAGAATATTGCCAAGTATATAGCGTAGAAATTTGAATATATGTCTTCCATACACCCTCAGAAAGATTATATATTTCGATAACGAAATAACCGTTCAACTATATCTAATTAATGATTCTTTATTAAAAATGAATAAAAGTAGCATTTAAAGGATAAAACCAAAAAAGTAAATCATCACATTCTACTTACAGACCGTGACAGATAAACTGAGCAAAATTCATCACCCATGACAGTAGACATTCTGAAGTCTCGCTATCAACTCTGCAAGATGTTGTTGACCCATCCTTAAAAATAGTAGATTGATAGAGCCTTAATGTAATATATGAACTAATATACATTTCAAAATACAAGAAGGATAAGTATTTTTGGAATAGTTTTTGATAGATGCCAGATAGAGATCAGTCATTTTTATCATTTCATAGTGTAAATGAAACTGCATTGAATTTTAGTATTAGTTTTTTTCTGACAAGGTTTTTGAGATGTATTCATTTCGGCTCTAAAACAGAAAATATTCTCTAATACAAAACATTTTAGAATTTTAATTTTCAGTAGTGCACCAGACTTGTTAACTGAAGTTCAATAATTTAATCATGAGTTATTCATATTTTACTACAAGTTTTCGGTAAATTTTTCATGAAATAGTAACGTTTTTTTCGACTTTTTGACCAACAAGTCTTCATTCAAAACCTATTAACTCTTTGGTGCCGGGACCCGTAAATATACGGGCTGAACTATTGCTCAGATAACTGTCGTTGCAATCTCATTTCCATTCGATCCAAAAGACTCCTCTCTCTTTCTCTTATCTCACCGACATTATTGCATCATCCTGCACAGCTGTTTTTTCCTCTAATGTATAACCTCAAACCTTTAACCTTTCGCTTGGTAATAGGCGTACACATACTCGACATTATTTACATAGAAGCCCTACAATGTCACAGTCTTATCCTTTATGTCCTTACCACTTATAAAATCACCCTCTATAGTCGTATCCCTTTATAGGCTTATCCTTTTACAGTCTTACGCCTCTATAGTCTTACTTTCTTATACCCTTACCATCTTATAGCTGTATAGTTTCATACTCTTACTCCCATTATCCTAACCCTATTATAGCCTCACAATCTTATACCCTTATCTCCTATACACCCCATCGCTTATACCTATCCTCCTTATATCTACCCATATATCCTCACTCTCAATATTCTAACTTCAGATACCTTATTTCCTTATAGAGCGAAATGTGTACCAGATCTTTCGTAAGTAAACCTGAAGGGGTCCCAAGTAATCCGCTATAGCAGCCTTACAACCTTATATTTTTATACTCCTAGTTAATCTTTAACCTTTAATCTTTGAACCAGCATAGAGAATTTTTTTAAAAGAAAAAAATGAATTTTTTTTTCAAAAAAACCTCGGCACCAAAGGGTTAAATGGTCTCAGTTTTTTTACAAAGCCTTAGCGGATGACACAGAAAAACGTTCTAGAAAACTCTACGTAGTATTTAAGATTGGATACAGTTTTATTCTCTTTTTTTTACATGGCGAAAACCATGAATCTTTATTTAGTTCTTATCAAAAAGCATTTTCAAGTATATTTATCCTTCTTTTAATTTGCAATAAATATTAGTTTCTAATTTAATCTCTAAATAAATAAGTAACAGGATGGTGATTTAGAAATGTATTATAAAATAAATAAAATAAAACAATTTTCTTTTAGGCATAGAAAAATGTTTGGAGAGGAGTACAGGGTTAAAAAGATTATGCACATGATCAACAATTTTCTCTGCTGGCAGGCACTTTTCTCCTTAGAAAACTTATGACTACGCCTCTGCTCGGGACTAAGACTTTGGATCTATGTACCTTTCTACTCATATTTCATATATTAATCGTGTAGGGATTGTACTAACATTTCTATTTTCATATAATTTGTTCATCAACACTATGCTATCTTATTTGATTTTATAGTTGCCTGTGAAATTTCCAAGGATTCAATTGATTCAAGTGAAAGAGAAGTTCGAGAAGAATTTAAAAGTAAATATATTTCGTATAATTGAAATAAATCAAAAAAATGTGGAATTTTTTTTTCTGCGAATGATAGTTAGTAATGCAATGCAACATGAAAGTGCTATAGCTGATGATTATTGGAGTTATATGTTAAAACATGGAAAGAAAGATTCAGTTGAAGCTGCAATACAAAATATTGAACGAAAGTAAGACTCATAGTTCTTCTTTTTTTTTATTTTATAAGAATGGAAAGTTTTTGTTTTTTCACTCAAGACTGCATGCTTTGCAAGAACAGATGCATGATATGATGAATCATGGAGCAGTAAGATCTATTATATAAATATATACATTATTCTAGTTATATATTTTATTTGATAGAGTTAAGATCAAGAATGGTTTTTATCTGATGCTTAATATTGAAGACAATAATTTCTTCTTTTTCTTTGTAAACAGTTTTTGTCTACTAATCGTTGAAACTTACGATTGAAAATACATAATTGATTTCACGTATGATGCAAAGTTTTCTGAAGTAATCTATCTTTCCTTTTCATCGACTACAACATACATCAGAGAACTTAGAAACAGCTCTTTAGAATCTGCATGAAAAGAGTTTTCCATATGTTTGTTCAAAAACAAAAAATATGCATTGCTTTAGTACAATGTTGACGGGTGAATTGCGCTCGTATTGTACCATTGGGTCGTCAACAGTAAAACGCTCATGTCTCAGCTTCTACTCAATGGATTTTGATAACTGTTTTTATTAAACTTCTTACTAATCAGGTCATCTACCAAACATATGATTAGGTCTTTAGACTAGTATCGCTGTAGGATTTTCAACGAAAAAAGGAAAAAAGTCACTGAATTTTATCTACGCTATTGGAAAAAAGGTCCTTGTCTTTGCTACAACCTTCACTGAATGAAATTAATTTTTTAGAGCTATATTGTAGCCAAGACTTTCCTCTTTCTGACTATATAAGTTACATGTAGCTTTGATGTCAATGCATCCATCAAACATTGCAAAAACTGCTTAAACAAATTAACGATCATTCCATGTCCCAACAGATTGAATTTATTAAGCTACTAAAGCTGATTCAGAAGTAAGAGGACTAGGTAGCTATGATTATACTAAATGTTCTGACAGATCTTTAATTTTGTTTCTTTGATTTCTCGGCAATTATAAGACGTCCATCAACTATTTTTACGCTACTTTTAACAGGCTGTGCGGTAAGACTTTGATTAAAATTTCAGCTTTTAAAACCATACCATTCATGAAAAAACCAGCATTTTTATTCCAAAAATGTCCGGACAGACTAAGACGATGGTTATTTAGAGATACAGAAAACATACAATACTGTTAGTTTCTTCGAGTTTAATCGACTCCTCTCGCTTCGAGATAAGTTTCCATAGGTATTATCAAGATTTCTTAATTCTTTGGACCATCGAGAAGTCTGACAGAGGTGGGGCAAAGGAAGGTTGGGTGCGTGTGGCTGGGTGTGGGTGTGGGCGTGATCTTTCCTTCACCCATATGCACACCCACACCCATACCCTCAAGATAGTGCTAAAATCCGAGTTATTTTTCTCTTTTTGTTTTTAAGCTATTCAAAAAGTGCCCACAGCTATTTAGCGTGTGGATGTGGGTGTGGGCCGGTGTGAATATGGGTGTCAGCATGTAGTTTTATCTTGTCTTCTATTTCACCCACACCCACACCAGCATATGTCTTACCTACTTGAGTGAAGCTTGAAAGAAACACATTGAGACATGTATAAACATTTTATAAATTATCTCTCGGTTGCATTTGCTAGGAAGTGATATTGGAGTATTTATATTTCGGGGTTTTTCTTAAATCTGTAATCGAGGTTTTGCCCCGTATTGTCTGAATGATGCATTAGAATATTCTCGAGTGATGAAAAATTTTTTATTCCTTCTTTATATATGTGTTTCTTTGTTGAATGACTTATATTTTTCTTTCCAACTTTGCATTCTGTCCTCGGTTTTTTTTGCAATGCGTCGACAAGTGGTATGATATTGTTTTATGACAAAAGCGAGTAGAAACTTCCGACTGAGTCATCATCGTGTAGCTATACTATAAAAAGTTGTTGCAAGTTAGTGCTATCTTCGTTCATTGTTTGCAAAACATTCTTAGTATTTGTTCACTTTTTAAAACACTTACTTTTCGCATCAAAAACAATGCAAATTTTTGTTAAAACGTTGACTGGCAAGACAATCACTCTCGAAGTCGAACCTTCCGACACAATTGACAATGTGAAGGCTAAAATTCAAGATAAGGAAGGCATTCCACCTGACCAACAACGTCTCATATTTGCTGGCAAGCAGCTCGAAGATGGTCGCACTCTCAGCGACTACAACATTCAGAAAGAAAGCACACTCCATCTGGTACTCCGACTCCGTGGTGGTGCTGATCTTTGAATAATATGTAATCCATAATTAGAACATTATCGAACATAATTGTACTTCCTTTTTATCTTTCTCCCATAGGATAAAAAAATAGGATATATTCACTGCGAAACGCGTTAATGCTGACCGATTTAACGCGTTCGCAGCGTTTCCCATGATGAGAAACGTATACAACCCTTTTTTCCACTTACTCAAAACGCGTTTCGTTGCCACAATTCTCGGATGAAAACGAAAAGTATATCGTCTCGCGGCGTTTTTAACCGATTTAGCAGCTGCGAAACGCGTTAAACCGGTCAGCATTAATGCGTTTCGCAGCATTTAAAAGTAACGAAATTTTTCCCATGGGCTGTACCTTTTCAATAAATGCTCTAAAAGTATTCATTCACTCTTAGTATTTCTTCGCTTATAGATTCTCATTCTATATAGAAAGGTATCATAAAACTGAGAGATGCAATCTTTTGTTTTAGTAATATTAATTATTTTTGAGGGTACAGCAGGAACAATCCTTGTTTAAGGTGTAGGTATAAAGCTTCGCTCAATCTATACCGAACGACGTCCACAGTGTCATGGATGATATCTAGCAGAAGCCTACGTAGTCTGAGATATATCTGTTGACGAAAAGAATTGAAGTATAAAATTACGCATGGATCAAAGTTAAGAAATATTGTCTTAGATTTCATTTGAAACGATTAGTAGTTAACCGAGCCATGACTATCGTTAATACTATTATTTTAGTTATTGTGGAATAAAAGTAGAAGAAAAAAAATGAACATTTAAAATAAAATGGAGTTGATTCAACTTTTGCCTGTTTTTAGAATGAACATCGAACTAAAGCGATCGCATAGAATGAAATCTTTTCGTTGTATTCACAAATAAAAGAAGATAAAAAATTGGCGTTATTAAAACAATTTTTCTATAATTATACAAAGCTTCTGTAAAAAAAATTTATTTTAATATAATACATTTCACTTCATATAAATCATCAATGCAACATACAAACATTATGTCTTAGATTTTAGTTTTAACAGCTGTCAACTTCAAATCTCGCCATTGTATTATTCCACTTTTCTCTTCATCAAAACGATGATAGGCATTATCAGCATGTTGCCAATCACTTGTAATAGTTTTAGGTTCTTCAGATTCATCTGTTTGCTTTATACCTTCATATTTCCACCAGCAATTATTAAAACCACACGTCGTTGGATTAACATACTGGGAACACATGGGACATTTTGTTGTGTTTCTATTTGGACCTCTGAGAATATCGAATTCTATGTATCCCATCGACATGATGACAATTCTACCTTTAGCTACGCATGCTACATTTTTGCATAGTCCTTCCAAACATAGACCAGGAGCTGCTATTAGCCAATCTGGAGCAGTTTTTGCCCATTCTATTCTTGTTAAACCTTTTTCATTACTAACATCAACGAAATGTGTTCCGAAAGTTGGATTTCGACCGTGAAAGTTACAATACGTTAAATCGAGCATAGCATCTGGTTTTATACCACAATCGAAGAGTGTTTTGTTATCATCATCCAATTGCCTTCCGTCAAGCACTAAAAGTATCTTTTCAAGGTCCTCTTTTGTTTTGGCCTTTTTGCAATAATATTCTTTGAGTTGTCGAATAGTTGTTGTTGATTCAACATCAACGACATATGTTGATGATTGTCCAACTGTGGTTGTAATGTAAACCTTCATGAATCTACTATTAATGAACTTCTAAAAAGAAAATAAACAAACAAAATAAAGCATACATAAATTTTAACTTGATCTAATTTCGCTTTGTAGGCAAAGTCTTATTGATCATAGATAGAAAAACTGAAAATAAAGTTATTCTTTCATCATAGACAACATTAAGATTGTTTGTTTTTTGAATAAACGACGACAGAATGAAAAATATGACAAGTGAAATATCTCAAAAGAATTTCATTTTTGCACAATAAGTTTCAGACATTTCATTCTATTATCATATAACTACAGGTTAAATCCTTGGTTTTTTTTTCTTTCTATCTCTGACATTCTTCGATGTTATATGGGAATATAATAAGTAATCTAAACATGATTAAGTTATTAGTATTTTTAAAATTTCTGCAATTTATAGATTATTTACAATTCTTAAAAACAGTTAAGCATGAACAGTCCATATGAAGATTTCGCAAGATGAAATACTGGATGCAGAAAATATATATCAATGACAATCATTTAGCATTATTGGAATTCAGTAATAAAATATTATTTTTATCAATAAATTGCGTATACCAGTTCATGTAACAACACAATAACTATCGTTTTTTTTTCTAAATAAAGTAATTCTGTCAAAAATATTAAGTTCATTAAACAAAATGATTTATTTTGTCCAGAATTTCAACAACGCATCATTTAATTAAAAAAAAACAAAGATACTTGTTTATGATTAGTTCTGAAAATGTTTCTTAAAGAAATAAATTTTCTCGAAATAAAAACAATTTTTGAATGATTCAGGTTTTCATTTTACTCAAAAGAAATCCATGTTGAATAGTGCATTACATTGCTTACCTATTAATGAATATTAATATTAGAAATAATGTGTATATTTCGAATACTTTGTTAGCTTTCGATAAATAATAATCAACAATGAAATTCAAATGGAATGATCTAAAATGATCAAATAAAAAACAAGGATACTTTATCTAAGCCAAAGACTTTATTCATGCTAAAATACTTTTGTCATTACTTGTTTTTTTTTCTATAATAAATATTGTTTTTTCTAAACATTAATCTGTCTGTAAAAATACCATGAAAAACATTCATACATTTAATTCATCGTTTACTCGGATTTTTCCATTTCTATCATCAAGAAAAAGTGACACATGGATTTAGTTTTTATTTTGTTCTGTTTTGCTTCTTGTTTATTCTGAATCATGTCTTGTTGTGTTATTACACAATATATTTACATAGAAAGATGTTTCGTTTTTAGTCTTCAGATTCATAAAGAAAAAGATTGGTTTAATTTAAAAATATGTATTTTTATTATTTTATCTTTCGTAGCTTCACCACTGAACACCTACGATACACTGTACAATCGATGAACAAATATAAAATCCATTAAGTTTTGATAGAAAGTGGCGCTCTCATAGAGATTCAATCTTCAAGGAAAGTTTTTTTTTCGAAAAACTTTTGTACAATATCCGTTAGTCTCAATATGACCAGTATGTCATTTACAAAAAAAAACAAGTAAATATTTGTCACTTTTGATTAGTACCTCCGTCAAACATTATGATATGGGGGGTGAAAATTGTAGTACGTCTCCTCTGT